CGGGGGGGGGGGGTGGGGGGGGTGGACCATGATTTTAAGGGATGGACGGCAAGGCAAAGTTTAAAAACCAGAACTTAAAACAAACGATTTTTCTTTTAACTTGGGATAAATAGATGCATTTGTATTCCCTTCTGCACAATTCATTGACCCTCATGTTTAAAATATCAAGGATAAATGTCCTGAAAATGCTTCCATTAAAAGGATGATAACCATAGTTACTGCGGGTTTCAGAGTAACAGCCGTGTCTGTATTCGCAAAAAGAAAAGGAGTACTTGTGGCACCTTAGAGACTAACCAATTTATTTGAGCATAAGCTTTCGTGAGCTACAGCTCACTTCATCGGATGCATACTGTGGAAAGTACAGAAGGTCTTTTTATACACACAAACCATGAAAAAATGGGTGTTTACCACTACAAAAGGTTTTCTCTCCCCCCACCCCACTTTCCTGTTGGTAATAGCTTATTTAAAGTGACAGGTTTCAGAGGAACAGCCGTGTTAGTCTGTATTCGCAAAAAGAAAAGGAGTACTTGTGGCACCTTAGAGACTAACCAATTTATTTGAGCATGAGCTTTCGTGAGCTACAGCTCACTTCATCAGATGTATACCGTGGAAACTGCAGCAGACTTTATATACACACAGAGAATATGAAACAATACCTCCTCCCACCCCACTGTCCTGCTGGTAATAGCTTATCTAAAGTGATCAACAGGTGGGCCATTTCCAGCACAAAGCCAGGTTTTCTCACCCTCCACCCCCCCACACAAATTCACTCTCCTGCTGGTGCTAGCCCATCCAAAGTGACAACTCTTTACATAATCAAGTCGGGCTATTTCCTGCATAGATCCAGGTTTTCTCACATCCCCCCCACCCCCATACACACACAAACTCACTCTCCTGCTGGTAATAGCTCATCTAAACTGACCACTCTCCAAGTTTAAATCCAAGTTAAACCAGAACATCTGGGGGGGGGGGGGGGTAGGAAAAAACAAGAGGAAACAGGCTACCTTGCATAATGACTTAGCCACTCCCAGTCTCTATTTAAGCCTAAATTAATAGTATCCAATTTGCAAATGAATTCCAATTCAGCAGTTTCTCGCTGGAGTCTGGATTTGAAGTTTTTTTGTTTTAAGATAGCGACCTTCATGTCAGACTAACACGGCTGTTCCTCTGAAACCTGTCATTATGCAAGGCACTGCATTTAGCCGTATGGAGTGGAAATCTATCAACTGCATGAAAAAACTTGTACAGATACAGACAGACATCATCTTCCTTTCCAAATGCAAACAGATGGACATCGTACCAAAAGGACTGAAGGTAAAAAATCCATTACAATCTACATACCACACAGACTATGCTGACAGCTTGTGCCTCACGCTCTCAAAGAAACTGCGGAATCACCTGATCAAGATCCTCTACAGCAAACAGGGAAAGATTAAGAATGAGCTCTCAAAAATGGATACTCTCATAAAGAACCAACCTTCCACACAAACTTCCTCGTGGCTGGATTTTACTAAAACTAGACAAGCCATTTACAACGCACACTTTGCTTCTCTACAAAAGAAAAAGGACACTAAACTTTCTAAACTACTACATGCTACAAGGGGCCACAGCAATGGTTCCCTCACCCCACCTAGCAATATTGTTAACCTATCCAACTATACTCTCAGCCCAGCAGAAGCAGCTGTTCTATCTCGGGGCCTCTCCTTCTGCCCCTCCACCCCCACGAACATGATACAGTTCTGTGGTGACCTAGAATCCTATTTTCGACGTCTCCATCTCAAGGAATATTTCCAAAATACCTCTGAACAACATACTAATCCACAGAGGTCTCCCTGCCAACACTACAGAAAGAGGGATTCTAGATGGACTCCTCCTGAAGGTCGAAACAGCAGACTGGACTTCTACATAGAGTGCTTCCGCCGACGTGCACGGGCTGAAATTGTGGAAAAGCAGCATCACTTGCCCCATAACCTCAGCCATGCGGAACGCAATGCCATCCACAGCCTCAGAAACAACTCTGACATCATAATCAAAAAGGCTGACAAAGGAGGTGCTGTTGTCATCATGAATAGGTCGGAATATGAACAAGAGGCTGCTCGGCAGCTCTCCAACACGAGTTTCTACAAGCCATTACCCTATGATCCCACTGAGAGTTACCAAAAGCAACTACAGCATTTGCTCAAGAAACTTCCTGAAAAAGCACAAGATCAAATCCGCACAGACACACCCCTGGAACCCCGACCTGGGATATTCTATCTACTACCCAAGATCCATAAACCTGGAAATCCTGGGCGCCCCATCATCTCAGGCATTGGCACCCTGACAGCAGGATTGTCTGGCTATGTAGACTCCCTCCTCAGGCCCTACGCTACCAGCACTCCCAGCTACCTTCGAGACACCACTGACTTCCTGAGGAAACTTCAATCCATCGGTGATCTTCCTGATAACACCATCCTGGGTACTATGGATGTAGAAGCCCTCTACACCAACATTCCACACAAAGATGGATTACAAGCCGTCAAGAACACTATCCCCGATAATGTCACGGCTAACCTGGTGGCTGAACTTTGTGACTTTGTCCTTACCCATAACTATTTCACATTTGGGGACAATGTATACCTTCAGATCAGCGGCACTGCTATGGGTACCCGCATGGCCCCACAGTATGCCAACATTTTTATGGCTGATTTAGAACAACGCTTCCTCAGCTCTCGTCCCCTAAAGCCCCTACTCTACTTGCGCTATATTGATGACATCTTCATCATCTGGACCCATGGAAAAGAAGCCCTTGAGGAATTCCACCATGATTTCAACAATTTCCATCCCACCACCAACCTCAGCCTGGTCCAGTCCACACAAGAGATCCACTTTTTGGACACTACAGTGCTAATAAACAATGGTCACATAAACACCACCCTATACCGGAAACCTACTGACCGCTATTCCTACCTGCATGCCTCCAGCTTTCACCCTGACCACACCACACGATCCATCGTCTACAGCCAAGTTCTGCGATACAACCGCATCTGCTCCAACCCCTCAGACAGAGACAAACACCTACAAGATCTCTGTCAAGCTTTCTTACAACTACAATACCCACCTGCAGAAGTAAAGAAACAGATTGATAGAGCCAGAAGAGTTCCCAGAAGTTACCTACTACAGGACAGGCCTAACAAAGAAAATAACAGAACGCCACTAGCGGTCACCTTCAGCCCCCAACTAAAACCCCTCCAACGCATTATTAAGGATCTACAACCTATCCTAAAAGATGACCCAACACTCTCACAAGTCTTGGGAGACAGGCCAGTCCTTGCCTACAGACAGCCCCGCAACCTGAAGCAAATACTCACCAACAACCACATACCACACAACAGAACCACTAACCCAGGAACTTATCCTTGCAACAAAGCCCGTTGCCAATTGTGCCCACATATCTATTCAGGAGACACCATCACAGGGCCTAATAACATCAGCCACACTATCAGAGGCTCGTTCACCTGCACATCCACCAATGTGATATATGCCATCATGTGCCAGCAATGCCCCTCTGCCATGTACATTGGTCAAACTGGACAGTCTCTACGTAAAAGAATAAATGGACACAAATCAGATGTCAAGAATTATAACATTCATAAACCAGTCGGAGAACACTTCAATCTCTCTGGTCACGCAATCACAGACATGAAGGTCGCTATCTTAAAACAAAAAAACTTCAAATCCAGACTCCAGCGAGAAACTGCTGAATTGGAATTCATTTGCAAATTGGATACTATTAATTTAGGCTTAAATAGAGACTGGGAGTGGCTAAGTCATTATGCAAGGTAGCCTGTTTCCTCTTGTTTTTTCCTACCCCCCCCCCCCCAGATGTTCTGGTTTAACTTGGATTTAAACTTGGAGAGTGGTCAGTTTAGATGAGCTATTACCAGCAGGAGAGTGAGTTTGTGTGTGTATGGGGGTGGGGGGGATGTGAGAAAACCTGGATCTATGCAGGAAATAGCCCGACTTGATTATGTAAAGAGTTGTCACTTTGGATGGGCTAGCACCAGCAGGAGAGTGAATTTGTGTGGGGGGGTGGAGGGTGAGAAAACCTGGCTTTGTGCTGGAAATGGCCCACCTGTTGATCACTTTAGATAAGCTATTACCAGCAGGACAGTGGGGTGGGAGGAGGTATTGTTTCATATTCTCTGTGTGTATATAAAGTCTGCTGCAGTTTCCACGGTATACATCTGATGAAGTGAGCTGTAGCTCACGAAAGCTCATGCTCAAATAAATTGGTTAGTCTCTAAGGTGCCACAAGTACTCCTTTTCTTTTATTTATAGTGATCACTCTCCTTACAATGTGTATGATAATCAAGTTGGGCCATTTCCAGCACAAATCCAGGTTTTCTCCCCACCTGCCCACCCCCACAAACCTACTCTCCTGTTGGTAATAGCTTATCTAAAGTGATCACTCTCCTTACAATGTATACACAGTATAACACAGTACAATGTATAAAAGTACTCCTTTTCATAGTTACTGCGTGTAGTTTGCTTATGCCTGACCTTTTTGTACTTGAAGATTCTCTCTAACATATGGCATTTACAACAATGCTGCTAACTAAGAAAAGGGGCAACAGAGAGATGATCCATATTTTTACAAAAAGAACAGGAGGACTTGTGGCACCTTAGAGACTATCAAATTTATTTGAGCAAAAGCTTTCGCGCGAGCTACAGCTCACTTCATTGGATGCATGTAGCTCATGAAAGCTTATGCTCAAATAAATTTGTTAGTCTCTAAGGTGCCACAAGTCCTCCTTTTCCTTTTGTGGATACAGACTAACACGGTGGCTCCTCCGAAACCTGTCATATTTTTACAGTCTCTGTGTGTTGTGTTCAGACTCAAAGGACAAGACACTTAAGACAATGTTATGAAATCTTAGCTGATCATTTTTGTTTGTTCTCTAGCTATTTAAAGCTATGTCAATAAGAAAACTGAATAGGTAATTGTTAAAATAGACTACCTTATGCTGAACCCATCAATATAGAGGAAGTTCATATCAATGTCCACGTCTTTGTTTCCCTAGGGAAAGAAAGAAATTTTGATGTCAGAATCAGAGGGGGGAAATAGGTTAAAAAGAGTGACCACTGAAAATGCGCAGAATGAGATTTTCAGAAACGCCTGTGTGGTTTAGCCACACAAATACCCTTAACACCAATACCAATGGGAGTCATGTGGCTAAACCTCCGAGCCAAATCACCTTCTGAAATCCCAAAGGCTGCCAGGGCCTTTGGTAGCCCACAGTGAGGTAGCTGATTCATTGTAAATGTGGAAAATGATATAACTGTAGTGCATGTTTGAGAAACAGAAGAAAGTGTTGTTGTTCCTAGCAGCAAATTGCTTACTGCTCAGACCTTTGTATAACCATATTAACCAATTACCACATTCCCTGAGGAGTTATTACTAAAAAACGCCAAAGAGTTGCTGTGTGTGTCAGAATGCATGACTAGAACAATCTTTCACCTCTGGAAACTCTGGTTTAAAGCTTTCCTTAGGCTGTGTGTGAAAATTAATTTGGCGATCACTTGCTTACACTGGAAAACTCATAAAACTGACACTCTGATTGGCAACACTGGCTTACATTTTCAAAAGCACTTAAGCCACTTCGGGGCCGAACCTCATTGATTTGACATTTTTAAAAATTGCTGTCCATCGTCATGTTTAGTCGATTAGAGACCCCGGCCAGAACAGCAGGGGTTTTTGCAAGTTAGGACTGAGGTATGTTGTTCAAGGAAGCTTCTATGGCACCTGTCCTCATTACAACTTCCCATTTTGTCACTGATTTCTGCAAGTACTTGTCTGTTTAATCATAATGGCTAGGAATCCATTGGAATTCAGTGGAAGTTGGATGCCTAACTTCTTTAGGCACCTTTGAAAATCTGAGCCTGTCTGAAACCCAAACATTACAAGAACCTAAAGAACATGAAACGTTCTATCTAAATATCATTGCTTTTTACAAGACTACATTTAAAATAACCTTAAGAGGCCAGATTTTCAAAATGGCCCTTTATTCTCAGCTGGGAATTGAGCACAAGATTGCCATCACATGCTAGGAAATGCTTACAAGCAGTGGTGAGCTGGAGCTGGTTTGCACCAGTTTGCTAGAACCAGTTGTTAAATTTAGAAACCCTTTTAGAACCGGTTGTTCCGCGAGGGACAACCGGTTTTAAAAGGGCTTCTAAATTTAACCGGCCAAAAGTGGTGCCTTAGGAGCACCCAAGGGGAAAATTTGGTGGGTGCAGAGCACCCACCGCAGCTCCCCGCCCAGCGCCCGGCCCCAGCTCACCTCACCTCCACTCCGCCTCTGCCCTCCCCCCCGCAGGCTTCCCGCGAATCAGCTGTTCGCGCAGGAAGCCAGGGCAGGCTAAGAAGCAGGCTGCTGCTTCGCACTCAGGCCCAGGGAGGCGGAGGTGAGCTGGGGGGGGGGGGGGGGGGGGGAGGAGGGCCGCCCATGTGCAGCAGGTAACCTGTGGGGGGGCACAGAGGAACCACTCCCCGCCTCAGCTCACCTCCGCCACCCTCGGCCTGAGTGGGAAGCTGCCGCCTGCTTCTCAGCCCTCCCAGGCTTCCCACGTGAACAGCTGGATCGCAGGAAGCTGGGGTGGGCAGGGGTGGAGAAGCAGAGCTGGGCAGCGCATTCAGGGGAGGAGGCGGAGTGGAGGTGAGGTGAGCTGGGGCCGGGCGCAGGGCGGGGAGCTGCCAGTGGGTGCTCTGCACCCACCAAATTTTCCCCATGGGTGCTCCAGCCCCGGAGCACCCATGGAGTTGGCGCCTAAGGCGCCACTTTTGATGTGATCAGTGGGGGGGAGCAGCTGCTCCCCCTGCTCCCCCCTTAGCTACGCTCCCCTGCCCCTAGGAGCCAGAGGGACCTGCCGGATGCTTCCTGGGAGCTGCCCCAGGTAAGCACCGCCAGGACTCCCCAGCTCGCCCCCCGGCAGGTCCCTCTGGCTCTTAGGGGTGGGGTGGGCACCCACTACGGTGGCCCACGAGACCCTCCTGCCCAGGTCTGGGGGCAGTCAGGGGACAGGGGAGAGGGGTGGATGGGGCAGGGGTCCTGGGGGGGGCATCAAGGAACGCTGGGGGTTGGATGGGGCAGGAGTCCCGCGGGGCGGAGGTGGGCAACGACCCCCTCGTGGGTTGAGGAGGGAACTGGTTGTTAAGTTTTTGGCAGCTCATCACTGCTTACAAGGGCCTCCTCTAAATAAAATAGCATGCATGGGTGTATCTAAATTTGTGCCTACACACACAAAGTCCTAGAAGGGCAGTGCCAATAAAATAATATAAGGGCTATGGTACGATTTCAGTCACAGTCTTGAGCAAGGAATAGTGGATGAGTTGTACCACTGTAGGAGTAGTACACTGCTTCCTCTTTACTCTCATGGGTTAGTAATTTCCTACTGGTCTAGGCCATCTTTAAATAAATACCTGCCTCTTTGTGCACTGGCTCAGCTGCTGTAGACAGCAAGTAGGGGATATTGGAGCCAATTCCCTGCCAACCTACTCTGGGGATAGGCACAGAGCCTTGCTTATTCCGGCATGCCTGGATCAGGGTATACACTGGTTTGTTATTCCTTCTAACTTCCCTACACAGGCTCAGAGTTCAATCACAATCTAGTCCTAAATTATTTAGTTAAGCAGTATATATATGTTAACAGATAGGCAGGAATTGTACTGAATACACATCAGAACGGTTTTTGATTCTGTATAAGTCCTCCGAATATCAGTAACGTTTGCAACTGAAGTTCTAGGATACTGTACTTTCACTTGATGTCTCTAAATTCTGATAATCTTTTATTCATGTGGTTATGATTGAAGATCAGAAATAAAATCTCCCTAAGAAGTTTACTTGAAAAAAACTAAGTCAGTGACTCTTTTTCTGATACACAATTCTTCAAATATTCCAGTTAAAACTCTCTCACTTTCTTCCTACTCCCTTAAAATATTGTTTCCTTGAATAACCCCATGTTGTTTTTTGTTTACACTAGTTAAAATTATATTCATATTGCCCTATTTTACCCAGCTCTTTCTAAATTAACAACAACTCCTTTAAGTGGGGTAATCTGATTAAAAATAACCTTTCCCCTCCCTCCTCCTCTTAGAAAATAGAAATTTTCTAGGCTCAGTTGATTGCCTTGCTGTGCTACCAGCTCTGCGGTAATGGATTCCCAGTATTGCCTTTTTTTCCCCTCCTTTTGCATTGATTCAAATTATTGAAATTGTCGCTGGACTGCAGGGTGTTCTTTAATGAAGTCCTACCAAAATAGCACACTTAACACTATACATTTGCTGTACACATGCTTTTGATGATTGTGCTTTCCAATTTAGATAGCCATCAAAAATATTTCAGCTAAGATTTAAGCTACTGCCCTCTTTTGTTGGAGGGGCTTCATGGTAGCTGCTTTTGTCAGGCGCATTCTGCCCAGCACACACAGCCGTGCCTTCTGCCACTTACAGGGTGCAGTGTGAGCCCTATCTCCACCAGCTCAGTGTCATGAGCATGAAGAAGGATGGAAGCAGTGTGGCCCTTCCCCATTTGGTGAATCCCACATGACTTCCAGCTCAAGCTGTCTCTCCTTCTTGCTTGCCTAGAAGTGCTAGAAGCAGAATGGTGCATGGCCCTGTATATGACCAAAGGGGCTCCTTGGACTCTCTTGCTCTAGGCATAATCTAGAACTACTAGTTTAAAAATCGGCTTTCTTATCCCTATTGTATATGTGGGTGGATTTTTTTGGCATCTGGTGTGGTCAGGTATACCTTTGCAAAGTGAATGCCAAGTAGCTAGCATTCTGGTGTGGTCACATTTTACCTCCACTTTTCACTCACTCTAGATAAGGCTAAATGACCACACTAGGTGCAAGGCAATGGAGAATCAGACTCAGGCTCATAATTCTCTGACTTCAGCCAGCACTAATGGCCCACCTGGATTATCACTACAAAAGGTTTTTTTTCTCTCCTGCTGGTAATAGCTCACCTTACCTGATCACTCTCGTTACAGTGTGTATGGTAACACCCATTGTTTCATGTTCTCTGTGTATATAAAATCTCTCCACTGTATTTTCCACTGCATGCATCCGATGAAGTGAGCTGTAGCTCACGAAAGCTTATGCTCAAATAAATTTGTTAGTCTCTAAGGTGCCACAAGTCCTCCTTTTCTTCTTACTGCTACATTTGTGTCTACATAGTCATTCCCAAGGCCTCAGTCTGCGGTGTTCCAGATAAATTATGGCTTGTCTGCAAGATTAAGCAGAAGGTGAAGGAAATTCAGAAGCAACACGTCAAGAGGAAACTTAAAAATACTGTTTGCAGAAAGGTTTCCCCGCCTTGCTCTGATGTGAAAGGTCGTCTTAAAAGCATATTCAAGCCTTGCTAAGTTTTTTGTTGCACTAGCAATGCAAATTAGAATCGTAGAATTCATAGAATCATAGACTATCAGGGTTGGAAGGGACCTCAGGAGGTCATCTAGTCCAACCCCCTGCTCAAAACAGGACCAATCCCCAATTTTCGCCAGAGATTGCAAATGGCCCCCTCAAGGATTGAACTCACAACCCTGGGTTTAGCAGGCCAATGCTCAGATCCTTAAGGTATTTTAGCAACTAATCTGGATAAACCAAGTTCTTTCTACTGTATTTAATTCATCTTGGCCAATCTAGTTTTTCTTAGACCCAAGTTTTATTTTCCTAAAGTTGCTTGAACAGAATGTCACTTAAGCATATGCCATTTTTATACGGGAAGCATGAAAATTGCCTTTGGAGCCTGATTGCTGTTTCTTTTAAGTGCGTGACCGGCATCTAACGCTTTGATTATAAAGCTCCAAGTTATCGAGCACTACGTCTGAGGAAAAGGACCATTTTTATTTTTGTTTTTGTTTTCCAAGTCACAATTACGCTCCATATGTGCCCAACAGTAGATGCCTGCAGAGGCTCCACAGCAAGAACATCCTGAAATCCTATTTTGTGATGATTAGCGCACATGGTGAGAATCTTCACCTAGCTTAATGCTAAATTCAGGAGTGATCATTTGCA